AAGCTCAAAGCAAGATGCTTCACCCAAGAAGCCCCGAAGAATACATGCCGGGATGCAACCGCAAAGGACCACACCGAAAATAAAGCAGCAAGATGCCGTAGATAGAAGGAAGTGGAAACAACTGTCAAGGACAGCAGACCCTGCAGCGGCGAATTAATGCTAAAAAGAGGAAGCAGTGGATGAGGGTCTACAGAGGTTGGAGATGCCTGAAAGGAAGTTCATATCCCTTCTGTAAGCAGAGTCATGTCTCTTTTATAGTATTTACACGACATATACCAGAGACCCCCATGTGCTATCAAATTGATTATGATAATCCTTTGAATAGGTGATTAACTTGACAAAAATTTTGAATGGTAGAGTGTTTTCTACCATTCTAAATAGCTACCAAGTTCTTTCCAACGAATTCGTCCTTTTTAGGACTATGATTATTGATTGTGTTCATGGCAACAAAAGCTGTTACTATAATGCATGCCCATCGTACGGTTCGTATAAACGAGGACAATGGCAATCCTTGTCATCTCCAGAAAACATCTCATACATCCCGGTCACAAATGTTGTACTTGAACTGATTAGCATTGTTTTCTCAATAAAACTGGCAATTTAATATGAGATAGCATCGAGACAAATCAAATTGCAACTGCAAAAGCATCTGGGTGATGGGCCAGCTGTTGTTGGGCGGAGGTGGGTAAGGTCAAACGGCGCTCCTACACGCTGGTCGGGATCTTATCCCGAATCGACACCCGCTCAGACTGTCCAGGTCCTCCATCTCTTCGATATCAGTGCATAAAGTTTTTCGGTAATTCTACACCATACTCGGCTGGCACGATGAAAGAACCGGTTTCACCATCGGATTCCCCGCTGTCCTCTTCAAATTATCGCATAAGCTGCAGTAGTATTCAAAACATAACCACAACCCTGCGGTATGCGATACTTGAGCACCATGCCACTTAAAGGCACAGCACACTTGGGATAATTTTGGGTAACCCAGATTATGACGAAAAATGGAAGATAAGATGGTAATAGTGCGTTGGAGGCGAAGGAGCTGCGTGGATCGGTGTTCCCGAAAAGAAAAAAAGGCTTCGAAAAATCGTTAAAAAGGGGGCAGGACGAGATTGAGACCAGAAGAACGAAGAAGAATGGGGCGTTTGGACGAGCTGCGCACAGCGCGTCATTGCATACGTGTGGGTCCTGGTGCAAATATCTGGCTACGGTAAGCAATAATTTATCCGCTTTTAGGCATAGCTCATCTTTTTCAGCCTCTTGGGGTAGGAAATTGAAAAAGGGATCTCGGTAGCAAAAAGAATAACGGAGGAAAAAAGTATGGGAGAAAAACATCGCCTCTTCACTCGGCGGTTAGCTGATTGTGTGTGGGTCCTAGAACGAATATTCACAATCTGTATTGCCTCGACACTCGTCTGACATGACATGAGGGGCGGGAAAGCGACTCAAGACAGCAACGGGGCTTCCGTTATGCTCTAAGCGTCGAGATTTTGTGAGCGAGAGGGACCATACTACCACCCATGGGAGCCACTGCGTATTCCCAAGGGAAGAACTCTGTAACTATCTTTATCGTGAACCGTGCCTCTGAGCCCCGCTGCAGATCTTTCTTAAAGGCACAGTTCAGGACAATTTTGGGGGTATCCGGTATTTCAGAGATAGTGGTAGGTAAGGCCTACACTAGGACAATGGTAAAGCATAAAAGGCTAAAAACAGTGAAAAAAAGGAAAACAAACGGCCGAAAAAAAAGAGGAAAAAGTGGTTGGACGAGATTCATAATGGGAAAACGGTGGTTAAGTGAATTTTTGCGGAAGTACATGAATGCGACGCCATGTGTGCAATGGCACACAAAACACCCAAACAGCTGATTTAGACTAGATTCTTGGAACTATTTATTCCCCAACTGATATTTCGCTGAACTTTTATGTTTATTCAGTTGTTCTGCACAGAAAGGTGAGTAAATTCCCTTATATTTATCATTTTACGATTAAATGTACCTAAGTTTCCATATAGTACGTTGTTTTATAAAATGCATGCTAGGATTTCAATTTTTTTTTTTTGATTTGCAACGCATTTTCTTCATTTGGGGTCATTTATGTGTTCTTGTACAATGTCAAGAACACTCTTTGACTTTCATTTGAAGATTTATGCTCAATAATAGTCGAANGAAAATTCGAACCCGTAGTCAGCCTAGCGAGGGACGGAGCCCTGACGTCCCCCAATGTTCCTGCCCTTATTGTCCCTATCCAGACCCTTTTCCGACCTAATTCCTGCACGAATGGTATCAGAGGGGGCATCGAATTCAAACTATGTGCAAATCTCCGAAACCATTTTCTCCTGACCTGTGCCTTTAATGTACTACTTTGCCCAGCAGATTCGTTCATAAATCACATTCACTGAAAAGCCTTTTTGCTAAAACACCCCCTCTATCACAACGTGGTCCCAACTGTTTACTCTGAATTCAGTCTAAACTAATCATGTTTATCATGGCACTGACTCATTTTTTGGCAAATGTCTACTAGAGTACTCATGAGAATTTTGTACAGTTCCCCTTAAAAAGGCATGGTTCATAAGAGCTCTAATGGTAAGTGGCAAAGAACATACTGCATAACTCGAACTGAAGTTGAGTAGTATAAGCTGTACTGAGATTCGATGGGAGTTCCCAATTCCATGACTAGAGATATGGGCAGCATGACGCATTTCCCATTTCAGTGTTCAATAAGGGGGTGCGAAAATCCAATTTTTTTAATTGTAAAGCATAATAGTCCACTATTAGTTAGCTGCCTTTGTAGGCTTCCTTGTGATCAGCACAATTACCGATGTAAGACTGCTGTTTCTAAGATGGTGAACGCTATAATGCTCTTCCGCCTCTTGCACGTACGATATTCACGTGCAAGAAGCGGAAGAGCATCTTAAAATTTCATGTAGGTAATTAAATTACAACCGCACTACTACCACCGCACAGCTAAGGGGTGCGGAAAAGCAGTCTCAATCGAGACAAACCCGCCAAGGGTAGGGAGGTCAGTACTAAGGAGGATAAGGCTACTCAAATAGTCTGGCAGCGAGTCGATCGTAATTCTAGGTGGTCCATCGGAAGGCTCGCAACGGAACTGTACACATCAAAGCTGTCGACGGTGCAGATAGTCAAGAAAGGCTTAAATGATATTTCTATCGTGTGCAGTAGGCCACTTCATTCTTTGTCCCAGCAAACAATATAGGGCCAAAAAAACGCAGTTTGCTGACTCGCTTGAATAGAAACACGTATCCCTCAATTGTCTGAACACCTCTGACGAGAAATTTTCCATGATAGAGCCAATTCTCAGCAAAGAAAGCGATCGCGCTCTGGCCAGGAACACCAAAAGTGCTACTCAATTAATGTTGTTATAAAAACAGTAAATAATAGTTTAAAAGGAAAGTAACAGACAGTATAGTAGCAGACATTGGTAAGATGTCGTTAACTTTGCCTCTACCGGCGTGGAAACTAACAAAGACGTGCACTCAAAAATACTATTGGTACAGAAGCCTCGATCTAATTTCGTTCCTTAGGACATCCCAGGTCTTTTCAGCAGGACGGCACTATATCCCACTAAACCAAGCTGCACACTTGAGCTGCTCGATTTCATTAGCACCAATCAAAGAATACCTTGATAGCTAGACCTCAGCCCTCCTGTCTTCTCCGTGTAGTGCCTGGTAGAAGGAAACCTTGCCAAGTTTGCTCCCATGGTAGGGTCATTGAAGGCAAGGCTGAAGAACTGCTGGGAAGAAATGGAGGAGGGATAACTGCGTGCAACATGCGAAACTTCAAGAACACCGAGTTTAGCCTGCTCTAGGCTTATGGGGAAAACTGTGCAAGCATGTAATTAGATTTCATTGCCATCCACAGCTTAGAAACTCAAAATACACTGCAATGAATTGGCACACAAGATTTTGGGACATCCTGTTAACTTTTAACAAGGTAGGCACTTATGCAGTCCGTGTAACAACCGCACATCATTTCATATCGAAGTTGATTTTGCGCCAGTCGCCTTCGACTAAGCTAGGAAAAGAGAAAAGTTGAAATCAGTATCAAGTAACCACCACGTTCACGCAAGAGGTTGAAAAGGCTACTCCAAGAACGGCTGTGAATTCGCCTCCGTGAGTGCCACCCCTACTGACAATATTTCAGCCCTCATGAACAGCCATCATCAACTTGTTTCCAGGTAAGCAAGTCGAGAAACATTCAACGGCAAGTTACTACCTATCAACATGACACCACACTTGTAAATTGAATATTTATAAATTCAAAACCATCAAAGAATCGAAATCACAAGGTAAGCCTGGTATGCCTGTACTTTCTTTAGATGGGGAGATTAATTATGTAAGATAGGATAAAAACATAAATTTGGGGTCTGGTAACAACTCTAAACACAAGCGAACCCCGGTCGATTGAACCGAATTGATCAAAGCCACAGAGAAATATGTTACATTTAATAAGATCTTAAAAGGCCACGAAGAAGGGAATAATCACCGGGTTAGTACGAGACTGGGGTTTCATGAGCCGAAAAACAGACCTATCACCGACACACAAAAGAAAGCACCGAAACAGCATCGGTGGTTGGGCTGTCTTCTCGAATCTGACGAACACCGCTCTGTTCTCATACTGCCTATCTGGTAAAAGCACAATTGACACGTAATCTTAGAAATTTCATATGCCACATCAATCAAATGAAAGTAAAAGGTGAACGATGCAAAAAAAAAAACACGGGTAAAGAAAGTTGCGAACTGTGAAAGCATAGGAGGGAAACTGATCGAGCACTTTTGCTCCTTCGTCTCACCGCTCCACGACGAAAAGGGCTAACTCGTTGAGGTGTATGCTCTTTGTCCTTGCAAAAACTCAGCTGCTAGCCAAGGTGCGTACACGTGTGTGACAGCACCACAACAACAAATGACGACAACTTCTCTAGTGAGCATACAACCATCAGCTTCAAAGCAACGACGAGGTCGCTCCCATCTGTTTAACGACATTATTCCTCCATTTCCTCTTCTACATTAGCATCAGGCAACAAAACATCGGTCGTAATTTCTTGACGTCGATAAACGAGCATATAAGGCGTACGGCTAACGTATGGATCCGTTGGAGCAGTAGTTTCAGTAGCGGATGAATCGTTGAAGTCATACCTGTGAAACAACACTTATAGAGCCTACAACTAGGAAAGTGGAGGCGCTCGCTAACCATTTTCCTGTCGTCTTATTAAGAGCTGTTGCTGTGTAATGACCACCTCCCAAACCACCAACGTGATGACTGATGGCTATCAAGTCATACTTTACGTGCTCGTGCCTTTCATTTGCTAATTTAGAGTTCAACTCGAATCCTCTGAAAAGATATCAATATGACAGGTAGCTGAATTTTCCACCAAGATTTCTACTCTTTACTTATCAGAAAACATGAAACTGACTTTACGGGAATAACAACAGGAATATCGATTTTGTCACGATGCCATTTACTGTACTGGAACCTCTTCAAATGGATGATTAGGATCTAAAAAAATGTAAATCATTTGNAGATTGACGGAAATCAAGCAAAACGAGGTCAACATAGAGAATTCCCATCTATTCGCATGACTCATTTACCACCGCCTAACGTTACTGTGAGGGGACTCGGACGAGAAGGAAATTCCCCAAGCTTGTTTGGCATACTTATTCAATTTTTCAACCGGTTAGGACTCTTAGGCACCCTTCTTGGACCATTTCCAAGGATGAAAACGCAAAAAATCAGCTCCATAAAAGCTGAATTTCTATCACAACGAGATGAGCCGCAACCTCCTCTTCCGAAACTTCACCCTCAGTTCAACAATTCACTTCAGCACGCTAAACACCAAGAACTTCTTCACGTTTACCGTACTGTGTGGCACTCGAATAGACCAATAATAAACAATTAAGAACCTGTGGTAAATTCCATAAATCCAGCTTCTTCGAAGCCCTCTCGTGTTTTTTGCATTTCGGGCAGTACCTGAATATAAGATAATCTCTTCAGCAATATCTCCGTGGATAGTTAAAGAAAGTTCAATACAGATTATGTTATGAAATGATCCATAAAAAACGCATGTTCTCTTGATAGTTGAGAAGGTTATTTTAATCTTTTGGACGATAGAAAACACATTTAATTGCGTTGCGTTTATAATAAAAAAATNTTTGAAATAGCTTACATTTCAACCAATCTCCCCTCTAATTCTTCTCACTGAAGAATTTTGATCCAATTTGAAGGCACGGTTCACGATAAAAATGGTTTCCGTGTTCGCCCTTTAGGAGTACTCAGTGGCCCCAAAGAGTAACAGGAAGGTCCCTCTCGCGCCTAAAAACTCAACAGTTGGGGTAGTTAGTGGGAGCCCTGTTGCTGGATCGCCCGGACATCCCACCCCTCGACCGATGTCACGTCAGACGAGTATCGAGGCGATACAGATCAATATTCGTTCTAGGACCCACACACTGATCGCCGACCGATAAGGCGAAGTTTTTCTCCATTTTTTTTCTCTCTGTTATTCTTTTGCTGCTGTAATCCTTACTCTAATTCTCTACCTCAAGAGGCTGAGAAAGGTGGGCTATTTCTGCTGTTACTAGGGTTTTCGTAAACTTATGCTTATTAGTGAATGAATTTTAAGGTTCACTTTTGCTCATCGTAGTCAGCTGGTTGCACCAGGACCCACACATGTGCAGACATCCATTCCTCGTCCAGACACCCATTTCCACCCATTCTTCTTCATTTTTCTGGTCTTCTTCTCGTCCAGCCCCTCACTGTGAAAACGTCTGATCGCTCACATTCTTCGCCTTCATCGCACTACTTTCCACCTTATCTTCCCTTTTTCGTCATAATCTGGATTACCCAAAATTATCGAGAACTGTGCCTCTAACTCACGGCCACATAGCTCGGTACAAACAGGCTCCAGGTCCTTCAGTGAGAAGGGAAGAACGGGACTACAGGGGACGAGATTAGTCGAATAGTAATTGATTGCTGAACTATTAAATTTGATATGGAGTCTGTAGTGCAATTGTGGAGATGCACCGTGGAAAGCTGTTCCAGTGATGGTTGCTATATCTTACCATTAAAGATTACTACTCCCCAAGAAATAGAAGCTTTTTACCTGTTTGAATCAGAATGAATGCATACTTACCAACTATCCTCTTCACCCAATTGCTCTTGCTTAGTGAAAAGATCGATGCATTCCATCAAATGAATGTCCTTTCGAGATGAAACATTGACCTCACGATCAATCAAATCCTGGAAAGTAGACCTGTCCTGTAAGGATACTATACTGCAAACCACACACAATTTTGACTTTCCATTTTCACTTCATGAGAGCACTACGAGTATATTGCTCTTGTATAATAGTACTTGTTGAATAATCGAGCACTTACAGCTCCCTTATATTGATTGAATAGCTGAGGATCCTTCCACTGAAAGACAATTGTGTGCATGGGAAGACCTCCTGGCCACGGTACAGGTTTATCAGGAGCTTCCGGGAACGGAACAGCATTGACACCGTGCATAACAAACAGTTTGTACTGTTCTGAAACACAATAACTAACATGTCACTAATCAAGAAAATACCACCTACTTACCTCGCTCGTCCCCCTTTATGTCCTCTTCATACAAGCAAAGTTCTAAAGGCGACTTCATGAACGTGTCTGAGATGAAAGGCAATACGCGATTTGCGAGAAAGCTGAAAGTAGCCATGTACAAAATCGCTTCAAAAAACCCATGGATGGCCGACAAACATGAATCGACTAATAACGTAACATGAATTGTAAAATTATGATAAACTAGAGTTACCTTCTAGTGAGGTAGTCAGGGTTAGGAAGAGTAAATACCATCGGTAATGATAATGTCCGTCCCGTTTGTGTTTGATTTCTAAACCCAATTTTAAAGTTGCAGAAGATTAACACGTTGGTTTTTTTTNTTTTTTTTAGGATGAACTCACTTTATAACAATAACTTTATGTGTATTGGGGTTATGGTCGACTTGACATGCATAGAGAAATTGATTTTTATCTTCGATGTAAATAGGCTCTGCCGGATCCAGTAACCGTACTTCGTCAGACAATTCTCCAAAACCAATAGAATATACAACAATCTGAAAATTCGAAAGCTTCTTGTGTAATGCTTTCGAAAATCTGTAGAATGAAATTCAAACTTACCTCTCCCGTAAAATCATTCCCAATGTTTTGTAAAGAATTCTTCATGGTGTTGATGGCATCTTGCACAGTAGTTGAAGTTGCCATAGTTATAGTAAACTATAACAAAGCAAACTAATACACAGCATTCTACAAACAAGGTTTCTCTATAGTCAGATTTGGAGCGGAAAAAATTAATTCATATGTACTGTAGTTACTGTATCTTTTTACATTTATTATATGAGGATTTTCTCGGTTTCAAAGAAGTTTTGAGGCGCAGCAAGCTGATTTTAAAACAAGGCATTAGATCAGTGGGAAATAAGACATATTAATGTCCTCTTTCATGTATACTTCTAAGGAGGACCGCGTAACTATGTTCCTCCTTCATAGTGAATGCCGTGTGAATGGCCTTACATCCCTTCAGCAAATCACTGTTGCCTTTTCACCTCACTGAGCAGAGAGTGCTTACTGGTGAACAAATATGATTACCTTTGCCCATCTCCGTTTCGTGTTGAAAATCAGAGTGACAACTTGCTTGACTTTCTCCTTGGGCGGCAAAGGCACCGATAAGAAGCAAAACGGATCAAACTTTATGCTGACCTTCAAGCAGACAATCAACAACCATATAAAGAGCCAACTGAAGGGAGTAAAAATAAATCACCTTGGCACAGACGGGACAAACCAGAGTCGACTTGAGTTGTCCGTGCACAAGGTCAACAATAATGCTGTCATTGCGGGCCTTGTATGCTTGCCAGGATTTTTCGGCTTGCTTAACATGGATCATGTATGGACGATTAAATGCACCAACATTGCGCATTCACCTAGTTGACACAAAAAAAACAACTGGAGAACAAACCTCGTGCTCCTCTAATCTTTCCAATGTCTCGTCATCCGGAACGTACGGTTTCACCTTGATTCTATTCAGATCTTCATGCAAACCATCTAAGACATACGCTAAAAGTTCTTGTGAATCCTGTTGAGCATACCCGCTAAATCTCGGAGCAAACTGTCCAATGGTCATCTAAACCGGAGGGTTCATGGTTAATGTAGCAAAATAAGGTTCACAGCAGCGTAAACATACTTTGACTTTACGAGGCACGATGCTGCAGTTTTCCCCTGACCACATGTTGTGAAGAAGATCTCCATAAGCACGTGCTAATTCCCCTCTAGTTCCAAGAGGATTTCTCTCATTTATATCAGCAACATATCTATTGGACAGAAAGTATTTTGTCAACTCCGGAACATTCGATAAGCACTGAAAATGATCGATGCCGATTCGGAATGGAAAAGTATCTCAAGAGAATTCGAACCTGAAGGGCAGAAGCCATGAAGCAAGTATTGCCGAGGTTTTGAAGACCACATGCCCCTTTAACATAGCTTCCAGTCCTATCACGTGTGGACTCGTAAAATCTAAAAGCATAAGGCTATTACAAATTCGATGGAATTCAAATTTAGTCAAGCATGAGGACCTTTTAGGATCGTGCATGAGAGATGCTCTCAAATCAAGTGAAATGAACTAACAATTCTCTGCTTTGCCTGCTACTAACCGCAAATAGTTTTAGTATTTCTTTTCATATTCTCATAGGGACTACACTTTTTTGAAACTATCAAAGGCCAAGAGAAAATGAACCATACCGAATCAAACCAATGCAAAACATTAACAGAAATGTTTACAAAGTGTAACCTAATGATTCATCAAATACAAAAATGAGCATTTGGTAAGGGCACGATCCCACAAAATGTATAAAACATATGCAGAAAGGAATACGTCAAAAGGCTTGGTTAGATCTCATTGGTAACGAGGGGAAGGTGTACAGAAAGGAAGATTACAATTTAAACAGAAAATCGTCTTCTGATATTCGAAAATGCGCCTTTGGGGAGTTCTCTTAACTTTTTGAATATACCATAACAAACATGTTTCAAAACCTATTCGAGAATTACTGTAAGAACTCAAAAAAACTTTGAGCCACTGGTTATATATGGAACTAGAATGTATCAGCTCCGAATGGATTTCCTGAAAGTTTTGGTAGATCCATATCGAAAAAGATTCTAGTGTACCATACCACGTAAAAAAGTTATCTTTATCATGAGAACACTTTAACCTAAAAAGTTGAGAAACGCAATCCTAGCATTACACTTTGTTAACCCGCGGACCACATGCAAAAAACTGTTAGTGATTTACTACTACGGTAAAGCAAGAAAGGTAGGCACTAGGTCCGTGGGTTGGGTTCAATGAGTAAAAGAATTCGCAAAATCAAATTGAGATATACCACCCACGGACCTGATAGGAGCCCAATGAAGACGAACTATGTACGCAATCATGGCATAGAGCCAACGCCAATTCGTTAGGAATCGGTAGGTACGAAATAGCAAGGACCACCATGACAGCCTAAACTCGAAAGACAGAAAAGTTGTGTCAATTTGATGGAGAGTCGATGACTACCCCATGCGAAGATATCTACCCTTTTTTGAATTTCGAATGGGTTTTCAGAGTTCAGCATAACTGCCAGCACAAGAAGCAGAAAGTAACGTTACAAATGCTGAAGCTCGTGAAGACTCAAAGGCTTAGGTTAAGGTGTTGGGCATAACTGGCGATCTGCTAACTGCTGCTGTTTGGTCTCTGTTCAGCTAGTACCGTGACTGACATTGGGTCTAAGACAGCACTCAAGGTCCGTGATGGCTCTCTTAGTTTTAAAATTTATTCTTCAAGAGCGAGTGAGCTAAAGCAGATATCACTCCCGTGCCCGCTTTCCCATCCCCTTAGCACCACAGGGGACCTTTCGCATAGCCTCGACTCGACCACCGAGGTTATTGGGTTGACGCAGCCGGTCAACAAACGAAAGGTCGAAGCCGAACATACAAGCTAGAGCGCCTTGAACAATTGAATTCTAACACATGCAAATGCATGGGTATTGATAACCACTCTCCGGTTTACGCGCTCACAGGTAATCAGAGATCGCTGGTGCGCCACCTCGACTGGCCGGCAATAGGAAACCCATTCGGGGGCTGAACTCAACAAACCATTCCCATGAAGACGACCAGAAACGAAAATTGGAAAGCACCTATCAACAGGGGGTCCACGACAACATGGCTACGCCAGTTCGCGTAATCCTAATACCCCAGACCTATACATCAAGGGCCTATTTCTTCATGGACATTCGCAGCAATTCACCGAATGTGATGCAAACCAGCATGAGTCCTTAACAAGTAAGTAGGATTCGATCGGAAGGCTGAGATTAACCCCTCGAAAACGACCGTTAACTTTGAAATCTAAGCCACAAAATCTTGAGAAAACGATTATATAGTAGGGATCACGGAGCTTTTCTTAAAGAGTTTCGCACATTACTCCCATCCTGCGTCACTATGGAAGCGCAGCGCTTCGTGATATGGACTAACAATGTTGTTTCAGGAATCAAGTCTTTGCTGAATTCCTTTCGCGGAAGTTGGAAAGTTTTTTTTNTTTTTTTTCTAGTTTCCATCAACGTTGCTCATATGTCGATGCAGAGATTTTCTAACAGTATCCAAATACTCCTGAGAGGAAATGTGGGAGAGAAAGGTACCGGTAATTATTGGATATACATTACTTTTTGCAACCCTAAAACAAAGAGTGCTTGTAATTTGATTGGACGCTTTCCTCTGGGTCTCATAAGTCAATTCACCATCGCTTGCTCTAGGCGCAGCGCTGTTTTTGAGAATCGATTTGCGATTAGAAAAAATAGAATTGCTTGGTGGCTTACGTTCACCTGGGGTATTACAAATGGGATGAGGAAAGAGAAGCGAAATACCGCGTAGAACACGAGGTTGATGGGGATTGCAGGCCATCGTCAAAGTAGGGTCTACAATGAACGTTTCAATGTGGCTTTTTTATACAATCTATGCCTAGTTCGGAAAATCCTTGAACAGCGCACCACGGGCAGTAGATGAGAGAATACTTATGTTAAGAATTTTCTGATCATATTTCTCAGCACAACGATGAACCCGGTGTAGCTAGATTCAACCGGATGTTCCTCAGTCTACTTCACTGATCGCTGCGCTCTTTCACTATATCATTATTCCTAGTCACCAGCCATCGAAAAAACATAAAAATTGAAGCGCGGAGAAAAAAAATGACCAGCACTACCGGAGAACCACAACAGTCTAATCAGAGGGAAAGCGGGATTGAAATCAGCACATCAAAACCGATTCTTCACGCAACAAAAGATTCAAGAAACAAAAGATCAGACCCAATTAGATTTTTCTTTAAAAAAAACCTAGCAGATGAGTTGAATTTATGTCATCTTCTTCCCGTAGGAAATAAATTGAACCCTACTGCTACAGAATGAATACTTCAGAAACAAAGCTTGAGATCTAATCTCGCCCACTAATGTGTGGACGACAATTTTTCTGCCAGGCACTCAAACCCTTGGAAACACAGGAGTGAAGTCTTGTGTAACGTCCTCCTAATTGGGGAATGATCAAAAAGAATTCTCCCCACATTCACAGACAAGCGCTTTCAAAACTACATCCCAAGTGACTCCGAGCTCTGATTAACGAACAACCATGTACAGGTGATGTTCGAGACCTGACACGCCGCCTCGCAGTCCCTCAACACCCCAGTAAGTTAACTTTCATGCCACCTATCAGCATGTTCATCTGCCATCTTTGAAAATTGGATATATCTACTAAGACGTCTGAACTAAAGGGGACGTCAGAAAAGTGGATAGCTGCACAATCTGGGTGCAACTGAGCCACGTTCGGAAAGGGGACGTCAGAAAAGTGGATAGCTGCACAATCTGGGTGCAACTGAGCCACGTTCGGGGTAACGTAGTAGATACATTATGAGCACTCGCTACGGAGACAAACTATGAAGGATACCTACTAACAACTAAAAACAAAGCAGACAGCAAGCAAAACAACACAGGATGATTAAAGGTAGTGCCAAATTAGTGGTAAACTCACGAATATGAAGACAGGGAGTTTGGTGGATAGTCCGCCAATCTCGAGTTACTCGGTTTTTCGTTGTTTATAAACCACTTATTTTCGTCATCGCAAACGTCTACATACACCTAGAGAAAGGAACACACTTCGAAAAGGCAGCAGGCATATTAATAAAAGTAGAATGAATTACCTTCTGGGCAGTATCAAAATAACTGTCAATATTTTGTTGAGAAATATCAATCAACTCGTACTTATCGCCGTGAGCAATATAGAAACGAAGTTTTTCTGGAGGAACGGAGGCAACTCCGAGTGATATCAAAGCACGGTCCCGCAAGTCCACTGAAACGTTCCATTATGAAAGAAATAAGGATTTGGACACATATTAGGGTTCGGAAAGTAATCACGATTTTTGAACGTTGCACAAACACTTCCCCTTTTAAACAGACCTTAACGATGTATACCCTATTTGGTTCGATTATCCTTTGCCATCCCTCTGGTAAGTTCAGAGCTCTTCTCTCGTTTAAACATCGATTTGATACCCTCTCTTTTCGGAAGTTTTCTCATTGGAACAGTTTCGAAAAGAGCATATCAAGTGGTCTACAGAAAGAGCGAGATCAGGGCTACATAGTGAACGCAGAATTACTTTTCAACCATACTTCGATAATTTTTGTCAAATCACCAAAAATGAATGCGATCTAGCCTCGTCATACTACGATATAACACGTCTGCGACTTGCTAATTTTGGTTTTTTTCAATGGCTCCATCAAATTCTGATAAATTTGAGACCAATCTGACATTCTGTTCTTGGAAGCCATTCGAATTAAGCCCTAACATAGTGATTCCTCCAAACTCGTAGTGTGATTTTCCACTATCCGCTTCATAAGTGGGAGATCTTCGTTGCGCTTGGAGCGCATATTGCAGACACTAACTCGAGGAATCAAAAGTATTTCACGCAACTCCTGTGGCACCCATCATCTAGTTTGCTACAAGTCCAATTTTTTCGAAATTCTTGTTAGCTATTCCCATATATGGGTTTGTTTTTATTAATCCGTGCTCACTAGTCAGTCCACCTTGAAATGATAAATTGCTGAAAACTGCCAGAATGAAAAGTTTGGAGACAGTATTTATATGCGCTCTGTAATAAGATTGTCACCTTATGTTTTACCTATATCATGGAAAGCAACAGGTTTCTAGCCACAACAGAACTAAAAATAGAGAAATTATCCGAAAACATCCGTCAGACACTTCATGTTTAAGAGGCTCTTAAAATTACAAATGGAAACGAAATTTGTTCAATTCTCCCAATAAGGTACAAATATAATTTGTAAAAGCATTCAAATCTCCAGAAAGATTCTGAGACGGGTGTTCGAAAAAACGTCTTAAAAATTCACAATTATTTTCCGAACAAACTAATACCATCCTCAAATTCCTCACCAATCCGCAACTAATAAAGCCTGCTAAAAAACCCTCACAAGCAGTGGTCCCTAAAATCGCCATGCTCCCCGCATATGGGACACTAGTAAGCGTTATGAGGAGGGGGAAAATGGAAAGGGAGCAGTTGAAGGATGCAAATAATAGGAGAGAGAATACGACAAAAACTGACGAGGTGGTGAGGCCGTTAGAAGAAAGAGCCATTAATGAAAATATTGTTAAGAAACATTTCAAAGTCGCTTCTTCTAATTCAAAAAAGCCAAATAATGTTGTAAGGCGTTTATTTGAAAAAAATGGTCAATTCTCCCACCAACACTTCAATTCACGAAGATCGCAAATATATTTAGAAAGTAGCCACTGCAAGCTCTAACTCTATCACTTTTTAAATGAATTCTTTACCGAAAAAATTTGCTTTGCTTCTTAATATTCACCAGTGAAGTTGCCTGCCATTTAATTTGAAAAGGCGATCGCAGGTGGTACAGGTGAAACTAGTAGACAGATATTG